TTGCATACGCAGATGATGTAATTTTGCTAAGCCCCACAATCTCTGGTCTGCAGGAACTGATTAACAGATTTCAAACATATGGAGTGGCAAACTTTATTAAGCTAAACTCTGAGAAAACAGAATTTCTGATTTCTGGAAAAAGTTATATTCCTAACAACGTTGTTAAAATTAATGAAGTTTTTATATATCTTCAAAATAAATTAAAACATTTGGGTTTCCAATGGGATAACGATACCAGCAAAAAAAAAATTGCAACACTCCGAAAGAAAAATTTAAATGAGCGTATAACTCAGTTTCAATCAGTTGCAAAAGCTCTAATTGACAGTGGGATTCGTTACTGCCAGCCATCAACAAATGTTCATCTGTACAATAAATTAACAGTGCCGAAGCTTATATATGGTCTTGAACTATGTAAATATGATACTAATTTTCTCAGCAAAATAGACGCTGTTGGAAGAGCAGTCTTAAAATCATTTTTTTGTATTTCGAAGTACAGTAAAAATTACCTTCATTCTTTTATTAAAATAGAAGATATCTCAACTATTCTCCTTAAGAACAAAGTTAATCTTTTTATCAGGCTGCTGAAAAATCAAACTTTTTACTCACTGATAATTAATCAAATACAGGAAACACAGAATAAAAAATCCTTTACAAACAAAGTATTTGATGCATGCAACACACTTGATTTAAATTTCATACAGTGCATGTTAAATGGCAAAAATATTAAATTGACGCAACCCATCGTAGAGCTACAAACTAATGTTTTGCTAATATTGAAAGAAACGTTCCAGTTTTGGAATTTGAAAAAAAAGAAAGAGGCGTTTAAAATCTTGATGGAGGAGAATGTTCCTAGAACTCTGTCTCAATAATATGTGGAAAACAAACCGGCTGTTTATAAGCATTTATTGCTAACAACTACAAGCGCCGTGTTGTTTTAGCTGATTTTTAATTTATTTTTTGACTATTTAAATATTATTTTACCTGTAATTTATTACCGGGTGATAAAGAGAAAATATAAATATAAATAAATAAATGTTATTAAATGTTATTAAAAATCTCAGAGTTCTTTTATTTTAAAATACAACTATTTTTCCTTTGGAGATTGTATCGGTCAGTAAAATTTAGATTGCACTTTGAAGGATTGGATTTAGTGTTTTCCCAGCGGCAAATCCATTAGAGGAGGGGGGGGGGTGATTGGAGAATCGCCCATAGATTTTTTTGAAATAAGTTTTTTTTGCATATCTATATATTTAACACAGCATGTTGTTTGGCTAAAAGAAATCATTTCACACAGCATCAGGGGCGGATTACCCAGGGTCAGAGACACAAATAACCTAAATATTGGTTATCTGTTTTTCCGCCGAAAAACTTAGATTAATTTGAGATTACTTCATTCTGTTCCTTATCAACACAGCCAATAACACCGCGTCGCTGTGCAAATGCTAAACAAGCCGGTATACATTGCTGGATTAACCCGGACGTATGGGCGACGCTGCGCCCGGTCCCCGAAAGGTAGAGTCCCACTAGACCCCCAATTTTTCAGTATATATGTTACTGCAGTTTGGGGTTTGTTGAGGCCTCTGTATCACTACAGCAAGGGCTTAAAAACGTATAAAAAGTTCAGCTTTTTAACCCTTTCGCTACTGAGCTAAAAACAGCTACATGTCTGCGCGTAAAATAAAGAACTAGAATCATGATCAATTGAAAGAGTATAAACTAAAAACTACTTGTCACAACTTGTCAGTTGTGCTTGTAGATGAACGCACAACTGATAAATGAGCACCTAAACATTGATTTTATTATATATATTTACTAATATTTAATAAATATAATAAAATTCACTTTGTTTTGGTGGAAAGTTAAATCCATTAACTATTATATTTATTTTTCAAAGCTCAAATACTCAAAAATATTTCAAGTTAGTTCAAGATAGTCAAAGATAGTTCAAGATAGTCAAAGATAGTTCAAGAAGAAATACATATATTTTTTAAATCACGTAAATTTTAATCTTTTCGAATTATAGAAAAAGTTCTCGTCAAAAAAAAGGTGAATATTCATTTAAAGTAATGTAAGTATACCAGTTAAAACGTTGTAGCTCAAATAAAAGATAATGTTAGTGTAGTCAACGTTATTACAACGTTGCACTTCTAATGAAAAAAAACCCGTTAATATAACTAACGTTATTACAACGTTGTAATTCTGATGAAAATAACTTTACTGCTCCCAACGTTATTACAACGTGAGATTTAGTTGGTCAATATCCCCCTACAAAACCCAGCATAAATTCAACATTGGATCGACGTCGTGTGCCCGCTGGTTTGGCACAAAATCAAGTCACGATTTGATGCTACTAGTATCAAAGTTCAGGGTAAAAATGTAGATTTAGCTGATGTTGTGCGATTGTTTCAGTTTCTTTTGGAATATGTAACATCAGTTCGTGAAGATTTTATTGGCATTTAGGAATATGCTAAATACGCTATGTTATTATAATAAATATTTAAAACAAATAAAATAAGAGTTAGTAGTTATATATTTGAAATAGAGAACACAACAACTTCTTTCAACCTTTTACATCAGTAATGTAAATAAATTAAAAAAAAAAAAA